CACAATAAAAAATTAAAAAAAAAAAAAAAAAAAAAAAAAAAAAAAAAAAAAAAAAAAAAACTAAAAAACAAATATTTTTTAAAAAAAATTCTCTCTCTCCCTTTAAAAACAAACAAACAAACTTTTCAGTCTTCACAATGTGGCAGCCTACTCCACTTGCATAGATTGAACAGAACTTAGGTCCTCTGGCAACTACTTTCCCTGGCATGATTTCCCATTGGCTACCACCCAGGGTTCATTGACTAATAATCCTATCAAAGTTATAGTCAAGATGTGGCCAAGAACTCCTGATTATTTTCTGAATTATGCTCAATCTCAAGAACCTCAATATGACTTCAGTCTTAACTCACTGCATCTTTTCTCTGCAGGATATTTCCACATCAGCCAATAATGAACTCTAATCTCCTGTTTTCATCAACTAAAAAGTAATATTGGTTTAAAATGAGAAATCTCTTAAGAAATTATTATATAAAAGAATGTTATTAGGATGAACAAACACATTGTAGTTTCTAAAATGACTTTAAATGTTTTCCCCCTGTTATTCTACTGTACATTATAGATCTACCTTAATATGATTTCTACAATAAGATGAAAATAAATGAAAGTACAGTTGAAAAAAAATAGTAATTAACTTTGTAAGATGGGTCAGATTTCCCTGTGAGCATATATTACTTTTTAAAGTTGAATAATAAACTATTAAATTATTTTAAAAAGATAAGTACCCATCAGAAGGTTATTATATCATAGCTTGAATTGGTTTAATTTGAAAATCTGACTTCAGCAGCCATAACTTTAGTTTCATAAAAAGAAGGGAAAAGAAACTCAGAACTGGAGGTTAGGTCTAGTTGGTTTAGACCTTAGACCTCTACAGGAGAACATAAGTTGACACTTAGGCAAAAAGAAACAGGAAGTGATGGGGGTTTGGGGAAGAGTGGTAGACAAAACAAAGAATTTTGCATGACTTAAAAAAAATTTTTAAAAAATATATTTAGTTGCAAATGGACATAATTCCTTTTTTACTTTTTTATTTATTTTTATGTGGTGCTGGGGATCAAACCCAATGCCTCATTTGTGTTAGGCAAGCACTCTACAACTGAGCTACAACGCCAGCCCTAATTTTTATTTTTTAAAGGCTGTGGTAGTACTGAAGCACAATTGGTATTATGTCAATGTCTGAATTATGATATTGGCATATATAGTAAGGCTGCAGAATAGTCTCTTTCTCTTATTTGCTTGGAAAATATTTGAGTGCCTAGTATATTCTCTGTGTTAGGGGATATTATACTAACTGGGGGGATGTATCCCTAACTGACAAGATGTAAATCCTGCCCTCATGGAGGAAGTGGATCCAGACTTGTAGGTAACACATTATAGCACAGTGTAACATATGCCTTAGGGGAATGCAGAATGCTTTGGGAACACTTAGGAGGGGCACCTAAAGAAAATTAAGGAAGATTTCTTGGATGAAATGATACTCATACCAAATCTCAAGGATAAGTAGAAGTTAAGTGAAGAGTACAGAAAGATATTCCAGGCAGAAGGTCAGAATATATTTTCAAAAGCCTGGAAATGAGACAGACCAATGAGTACTCAAGTAGAAAAAAGTTCAGCATGTCTGCATCTTTAAATATAGGAAAAAGTTCAGAAAGAAATCTAGAGAGAGAGGCAGACACTGGCCTTGTAATCTATAGTAAGAAATTTGGGTTTTATTCTTCAAAAGTATGTCACTGTTGAAGCCTTTTAGGAAGAGGAATATCATGACTTAAAGAGATTCCCTCTGACTCTTTTGTCTTAGTCAGTTTGAGCCTATAACAAAACACCATAGATTGAGTGGTGTATAAATAAAAAGAAATTTATTTCTTACAGTTTTGGAAGCTGGGAATTCAAAGGTCAAGGTAATGGCAGATTCTTTCTGTTTCATGTGTAGCCTTCTTGCTGTGTTCTCATGTGGTGCAAATGGGCAAAAGATCTCTCTGGAGCCTGTTTTGTAAGGTTTTTAATCCCATTCATGAGGGCTTTGCCCTCATGTTCTAATCACCTCTGAAAGGCCCCACCCACTAATACTGTCACATTGGTAATTCAATTTTCAGTATGAATTTGGAGGGGGTAGAGACAAATATTTAGACCATAGCATATGGAAAATGGATTGAAATGAAATAAGATTGGAGATGAGATCTGGTAGCAAATTTTTGGAGTCATATAGATAAAACATAATGGTGGCTTAAATTTGGACAATGGCAATAGATAGGGCTAATTATATAGTTAGATACAAAGGCTTCCAGAATTCGGACATGGTGAACTAGAATTACAGTGGTGAAATATTTACTATCTGAAATATTTACTAACTGAAATATTTACTATCTGGCTCTTTATAGAGAATGTTTGTTGACTCCTGGATTAGGATTTAGCTTGCTGTCATTATCATCCAGAAACCCCATAGTAAATTTTAAGGGACTCCAGAAAGAAGGTTTTATGCCTAAATTCACAGATTAGTTTAAACTAGGGTTTTAAGTCCACCTTTGGTTAAGCAACTGTAATTCTACATTAAGACATCTTTGCTTATTATTCCTCTAACAAACATTGAATATTTAGAAGCATCTTTGTGGCATGATAATGTTCTAGCAATGATGTGCCATTTTGGTGGCAGTTGTTAACTACCACCAAAATATGTCATTATGTGTATCATAACATTCACACTGTAGTATGTCACCACTTAATTATATTTATAGAAACAGATTTTCAGTATCTGTTTCAGAACAGTGACTACTTGCTGCCAAAAGGAAAGTGGCTAAGAAAATTCTTTTCTCCTTGCTGTCACTGCTGTAGTTTTTTAAGTACATTTGTTAATGCTCCATGCTTTTGTGTTTTAGATGAATAGCACTTACATTAGCAGATTGTACCCTGTGTATCTACAGAGTGACATCTCATCCCAGCAGACTGGGATGAGAGAAACGTGTGTGTGTGTGTGTGTGTGTGTGTGTGTGTGTGTGTGGCATTCCCATAAGTCAAAAGATATAACTGAGAAATTTTCTATTGTATTTTCCTGACTTCAAGCAGGGTCATATTTAACCCACATAAAACATAAAAATATCTTCTGATTGAGCTTTCCAGATTAAGATATCCTATAATCTCCTTGGTAACTCATTTCAGGATTTCTCAACTAACTGGCAGCAAAGCAGACTAGTTGAAAAAAAAAGGGGGGGGGGCGGGTAGGAAATATGGTGGAATGCAATGGACATCTTTACCCTAGGTACACATATGATTTCACAATGGTGTGACACTATTTCATGTACAACCAAAGAAGTGAAAAATTGTGCTCCATCTGTGTACAGTGTCTCAAAAAACATTCTGCTGTCATGTATAACTGATTAGAACCAATTTTTTAAAAGATATTCTGTTTTTCTCTATAAATAATTAGAGAATTCAAAAGTCATTTTTAAAGCACCTTTTGTGTGCCAGATAAGAGAATGAAAGAAAAGGCATGCTAATAAGAGCAGTGGCACTCTGAAGAAGCTGGGGCAATTCAGGGCCCATTTAAAGACCAGCAAGTATTTTGGTTTGAATAGAACTCTGAGGTACTCCTAAAAGTTCATAGCTATGAAATTCCATTTTGGGGGAAAGGTAATCTATTAGGACGATATATGGTCCATTGTTTTGTTGTTATTTTGGTACCTGGAATTGAACTCAGGGGCACTCGACCATTGAGCCACATCCCCAACCCTATTTTGTATTTTATTTAGAGACATGGTCTCACTGAGTTGCTTAGTGCATTGCTGTTGCTGAGGCTGGCTTTGAACTCACAAATCCTCCTGCCTCGGCCTCCTGAGCTGCTGGGATGGACCATTGTTCTTGATTCAAGAAAATAGCAGTAACTTATTGCTGGGTGGATTTAAACATTTCTCAGACCCAAATGTGCTAAGTGAAAACAATAAGAAAGATCTTGAAATTTTCTGTCAATTTCTTATATAGGACACATTTTAATTTCAACTATTGGATAATGGATACAATTTCAGTTCCTTCATGTGTAAATCCTGTATGTTCTAGGTATTTATGTGACATCCTGTTATCATATATTGCCAAACAGAACCTGGTGTAGTCATTTTCTTTGATACATGTTATATTTAAAATATATTTGGTCCATTTAAGCAGGAATATAAAATAAAAAATACTTTATTTGGCAATGATTTGAGATTAAGATATCTAATCTTTGTAAGTAGAGTTAAAAATTTTAACATTTAGACATTTTTACCATAATAATCTGTCTTTGAATATCCATTTTTTCTAAATTGTCATGTAAATTATGGGAGTTATTTTTCATGACAATTAATAAGCAGCATTTCAGTTGTTTCTAAGTAACAGATTGAATGTTGTCTGAGTCTGTGGCATTTCATCCATCTGTTCTGACCTTTGTTTCCAAATTTCCTCTTGCCATTAGTGTTCTTTCTTTTCTTTATACACTCATAGCCTTCTTTGGGATAGCGTTACTTTTTCAAACACTTCTTGGTTGTATGATAACCATTATGTATGCATATACACATATATATACATATACACATATATATACATATACTCATATATACATATATATATATATATATGAAATATATAAATATTTCTTAGTGACTGATTTTTTTAAGAGAGAGAGAGAGAAATTTTTTTTAATATTTATTTTTTAGTTTTTGGCGGACACAACATCTTTGTTTGTATGTGGTGCTGAGGATCGAACCTGGGCCGCACGCATGCCAGGCGAGCGCGCTACCACTTGAGCCACATCCCCATCCCCAGTGACTGATTTTTTTTTTTTTAAGGTCTTAGAAATATTAAGCACTCTAACTTTTTACTTGAGTTCCTAAAAATAACTTATCATTAAAGGTGTATAAGAAAATGTAGAGTGGTTATCATATTTGAGAATTTACTTGGATTTTATCCACAAAGAATTTAATATGTTTCCTTTTCAAATTTGCAAGTAATAATTACTTTTAAACATTTCTCCTTTTTAGACTTTTGAAGATTTTAAAAATGACAAGCAAGCTGTGGAATATCAACAACGCATTGTGGATATTTTGTTGAAAGTAAGCATTCAATGATTACATGTCTTTGTATTTATATTTATAAGACAAGAGAATTGAACCATTTTATATCAGGTTCTAAAATAATCTTGTTTAGTGAAGTTATTTGTTGCAACATGTCTTATAATTTTATTATGGTGTCTTGGTGCTCAAGAGCTAAATGGAATATTCAGCATTAATATTCTGTTTCAAACTGGATACTGGGATACAGAATACTACTCTTGAGAAATGCACATAATTCTGTGTTATGTGATCATGTGCTTTGAGAAAATAATGTGAAGAATGTTCAGTGTCTTCCAGCATCATTTCATTGCTATGGTGGTGCCATATTTTTACTGTGAATCTGAGACGATAGGTGACACTTAAGAATTATTTTAGGGGGCTGGGGTTGTAGCTCAGTGCTAGAGCATTTGTCCAGCATTTGTGAGGTACTGGGTTCGATTCTCAGCACCATTTATAAATAAATAAAATAAAGGTCCACTAACAATTAAAAATATATTTTAAAAAAATGATTTGAGGAATATAGAGATGACCATTAAAATATGAATTTTACTAGATTCAGTAAAAAGCTATTTTGAGATTCATATTCTTGCTAATGAACAAATGCAGAGACAGATTCCCGTCTTTCCCATCTGCACAACTTCCTGTAGGCTTTTTGTTGGAAGCTTAGGGTTTTTATTCTGTTCATCTGGCTGTAAAATGTAGGTTTCTTCCTCTTAATGACTTTAAGATTATTTTGGAAAAGAGACAGAATTAAAATGTTCTCTAATTGTGTATATCATTTATGCATGTATGTACCAGTGTATTACATTTATACTAGTTTTTTATAATATTCAAAGCACATTTATAGCATATACATTATCTCTTTGAACTGTTGATTAATCTGAACTCTATTTATTAAACTTGTAAGATAGGCAGTGATGAATATGAGAATAGTGTTGCTAAATTCCCAGGTAATTCCAGTTTAATCTAGATGGTTAGTATGGGAAAACTTCACCTGGATTCCCCAGGGACCTTTCTAAATGATCTCTCTATTCCTAATGTTGCTCCTTCTGTAATATTCTTCTGTGGCTTCCTGTTAGGTCAGTTGGATTTAAGTTCTGCTATGATTGAGAAAAAACACATAATGGTCATATTTTAATTGTGATATCATCCGTGGAAATTTTTTTTCTCATATAAATTTGGAGGTAGGCAATTTAATCTGGTAGAATAGGTTTGCAAACTTAATCAGGGATTCATCTTCCTTCTATCTTACTATTATACTTAGTACCTGATTTCTGTCTTTTGGTTCAAAATGGCTGCTCAGGTTCCAGCCATCACCTCCACATTCTAGCCAGCCTGGATACAAAAAGAAATTCAGAAGGAAATGTGTCCTGTCATTAAGGAAGCTTCTGAACCAAAGGCTGAATGTTTTATCTGATATGTGGGTGCTGATTCACAGTAGTCGGGGGAGGGGGATAGAGGAACTTTGTATTATACAGAGGGGAGGGAGTCATCAGAGGAGAGGGGGCCTGGGGGTAGGAATGATAGTAGAATTAATCGGACATTATTGCCCTATGTGCCTATATGATTACATGATCTGTGTAACTCTACATCATTTACAACCAGAAGAATGAAAAGTTATATCACATATATGTCGAAATGCATTCTACTGTCATGTATAACTAATTAGAACAAATAAAAAGTTAAAAGAAAAAAGGAAGCTTCTGAGAGGTTGTATACTATAATTCTGCTTGCATCACAATGTCCAGAATTAGGGTAGATGGCCCTTAGCTGCTAAGAGAGACTGAGATATGTAGTCTTGTGTTCTGGTTAACCACAAGCTTATCTAAAAATTAGGAGTTCTGTTTCTAAGTTGGGAGGGAAGAATAGTTGTTGGACCATGTTTTTATTTCATAAGAAAATGACAGTCTGGGTACTTTATAAAGAAAAGAGATTTTTTTTTTAACTCACAGTTTTGGAAGCTGAAAGTTCAAGATTGGGTGACCCCATTTGTTTCATCTATGGTGAGGGCCCCCTTGGCTATGTCACGGTATGGTAGATGGGACAGAGGGAGTGTGCAGAAGAGGGAACGATCACATGGTAAGTCAGGAAGCCAGTGATTTGGGGTCAGGCTCACTCTTAATATTGATAATATTTGCCTCAGGTCAGTGAAGAGTGAACTTTGGAGATTATTTTTCTCATTCTGGTAATGGAATTGTACTAACTTGTCAAAGCATACTTTGGAGAGAGGCGATGAGAGTAGGAGTACAGGCAGTGACCAGAGAACAGGCAAATGGGCATCATTAAGTGTGATGGCTGCAGACACAGAGGGAGGAAATACTTAATTCATGATTTCTTACAAGATTTCCCAGGAAATTTTATAAGTACAGTCTCTGAACTATTTCAAAGGTAGAAAATGGGGAATTTGGAAGATGATAACCAATAGAGACTTGCTGAAGTGGCAAGGAAATTGGCTGTGAGTTGAAACAGTTATCTTAAAAGGTGTTTGTAGGGTCAGACAATTTAGGGGCTTCCACTTAAAAAGCAAAGGGCTAACAGGAGAGAAAAGCAGCAGTGGGGCCCCAAGAGTATAGTCCTAGAAAAGGGACCTGCACACTGAGATGGTTAATGGCTGAGGACTTTAAAGCTGTGGAAAGCTCTTTGAATACTCTGGACTGGAATGTATATGTGTGCATATGGATATGGATAGAAAGGGATTTTATAACTTGAACTGTGCTTGTACTCTGATAATGGTTATACGGTTGAAGAAGGGGTGATTGCTGGGCTGAGACCTATTGATAGATAAAAGTGACAGATATGCTGCCAGAAAAGGCAGATCAGGAGCCAGGCCCTGGGGAGTGCTATATAATAAGATTAATCTTACACTTCACTTTGAATGGAGGATAGAAGAGAGAGTGTGGAACTTCTTAACAGGTGTGCTAGGGTACTATACCCTGATTTGTGATAGAATTGCCCCCATGAATTCAGCTAGCCCAAAATAATACAGATCTTCCCTCACAAATTTCTGCATTCTCTCTTTATTAATGGCATCATATGCTACTGGTCAATAATGCTCAGATCTGTCCTTTTTTACTGTTCCTTTAATGACACACTTAGGAATCCTGTCCTGTCTCCTCTCTCTGCAGTGCCTTTGTACCTGTTCCTTGTTCCATTTTGATGCCATTGCCCCAGTTCAGAACCCCTTTTCTCTCCGTGGGACCTTTGTAGTCACTTGCGTGTTGGTATCCCTGCCTTCTCTTTCTTCCTTCTGATATTTTTCCTGTATACTACCAACAAGATACTTTCTTAAGTACAGTACTGATCACAATCTACTTTCCTGACTAAACACATTTAGTAGCTCTTCAGTTTTCTTTTTTCCCATATTTTTTAAAAAAGTATTCTTTATTTGTTTTTTTCTAGATATACATGGCAGTAGAGTGTATTTTGACATATTATACATACATGGAGTATAACTTATTCTGATTAGGATTCCCATTCTTATGGCTGTACATAATCCATGTATTTCTATTGGTGCATTATAGTTGTACATAAAGGTGGGATTTGTTGTTGCATCTTTATATACACACAACAGAACAATATAATTTGACCAATACCATTTCCTGGTATTTCCCTTTTCTTGTGTCCTGGTCCCTTTCCTCTACTCTACTGATCTCCCTTCGATTTTCATGAGATTACCCACTACCTTTCTTTTACTTTTTCCTCTCTAGCTTCTATGCATGGCTCTCTAATTTTCTGTAGACTAAATTCAGATTCCTTAGGGTGACAAGTCTTCTTAGCCTGATTTTTCTTCTCCCTTCAGGCATGCTGCTGCATCGTAATAGAACTTTACAGTTTCCGGAACAAACTGTGTCCATGCTGTTGCTCACACTCTTCTCTCTGCTGACATTTCCCCTGCCAGAGGTTCTGTGTGGCTTTTCTGCTTAGCTTAAAAGCTGTTTTTCTCATTTCTTCTCAAATTCCTTCATAAGCCAATTCAACTAAATTTTCTGCACTGTAAAATTGTTTGTGCCCTTATAATAGTGTAATTGTATAATGTCTTTTATTTAATGTGTTTACCCATCTTGCCTTCTTTTCTAGTTCATAATTCCCTTAAAAGCTCCTGTCAGAGCCCCTGGGGATTCAGGAAATGAGGGCTGAATTAAAGCAAAGTATTGACTGGAATTTGGTTACTCTGTGTGGTTGTAAAATATCTGTTGTACGTAACAGCAGCTCAAGAACTGTCTAGTAACAAGGCAGGCCGGCTGTAACTGACTTCTTTTTCTGGGGTGCCTTCACTGGATGGTTATCTCATTTTAAACCCTAAAGCAGCTCTCTTCATCTCTTGTTGATAGACAGATTTTTAATAGGGTTATTTAAATTTAATTTAAATTTAACTTTACTAGAATTCTATAAGAATTCCAGAGGGAAACATGATTAATATTTCTTTGAACTCTTATATCCCCTCTTTAACAATTTAGTTCTCTTTCAAATTGTGCTAGATATATGCTCAAAATCACTAAAATGTTTTCCTTTCAGAGCATGCAAGTAGTTATGCTCCTTCTCTGTATGGTATTGAACTAATTTTTGCACAGTCAATTAAAGAATCTTTTCATGAGTCTTTTGTAATGAGGCTCCCCCCTTCTAATTGTATATTTTTATTTGTATCAAACCAGATAGTGTATTGAATAAATGGTTTCTTTGGCTCACCAGGTTATGGTGGAGAATTCAGATTTTACTCCCTCACAAGTAGGGTGTCTCTTTACGTTCCTTGCTCGACAGCTTGCAAAACCTGACAATACCTTGTTTGTGAACAGAACCCTCTTTGATCAGGTAAGTGTCTTAAAAGTGAGGACCAGAATTTTTTCTCTGTTTACTGTTCATAGAAAGTATACTGGATTGCCCTGTTTCTTAAAATGACAGATTATTAGATAAATGTCTTATCAAGGACAGGTATGTTAAGGTTTTGGATCTAAATTCTGTGTGTGTGTGTGTGTGTGTGTGTGTGTGTGTGTGTGTCTGTCTGTCTGTCTTAATGATGTGTTCTCGGTAATAAGACTTTGCCTAAACACTTGGTATTATGGGAGTGTGATTATTAGAGATTTTCTTTTCTCATTTATTTTCTTGCTGTAAATTACCTAGAAATATTGGCTCAAGATATTTCTGATTTAAGAATTACCTCTTCAAGCTGGGCATAGTGCCACACACCTGTTTTCCAGCAACTTAGCAAGGTCCTGAGCAAATTTTTCAAAATGAAAAATAAAAAGGACTGGGGGATGTAGCTCAGTGGTTCAACTGAAAAAAAAAGTCACCCCATCATTATTGGTAGTAAGACTATGTTGATGAAAAGATTACTTATGGAAAAGCTAAAGGTATTACTTACTTACTGAAGGTATCTTACTGAAGGTATCTTCTAATCTCCCAAATATCTCCTACATATCCATAGGTGACAAAGAAAACACTTTTGGTGGGAGAAAGTAGCCCATAATGACTAACATTTTACTGAGCCCTTCATAGTACCAGGCACTGTTCAAAGCTTTTAATGTACATGTTTAAGTCAATCTTCCTAATGATTTTGAAATAGGTGCAGTTATCCTCATTTTACAGATGAAGCCTGGAGAGGTTAAATAACTCACCCAGTCATACTTAGTGATATTAATAGTAATGCTATTGTCATGTATTGGTAAGGTTAGGATTTAAATCCAAGTGTCCAGCGTAAGGTCCATGCTTGCTCCATTTATGGAATCCAGGAACTTAAGGTGTACAGCTGACACTGCCTTCTAGCTGTGTTTCTGAACAATAAAGAAACATGTGCATTTGGCACATATGAAATGGTTTGCATGCTTGACTTTGATGTTTTCATGTACTGGGCAGTTGGTTGGGAAGGTCCTGCATATTGTGATATTTGTTATGGCCAAGTGTGAATAAATTTTTGATATTGAAAAGATAGTTATTGCTGTTTCCATTATGACAGTGTTATGGTATGAGTGCTGATATTCAGTAAAGATTACCTTTTCTTTGGCCAGGTGCTTGAATTCCTCTGTAGTCCTGATGATGACTCCCGACACTCTGAAAGACAGCAGGTTTGAACTCCTAGAATTTATTTTACTAAAGGATGGGGAAAAAGTCAGAGTAAGCCAGAAAGAACTCTTTTGTGTTAGGCCTCTCTAGACAGAAGGGAGAAAGGACTTGTGCCAAACTGTAACTCTAAACTAAAGATAGTGGCAACCAGAAAATAGTGTGGGTGCATGTGTAAGGAACTTATATCAGACTAAACACCTAGACAGGGGCCTGTCTTGCATACAGCATGACTCCAAAGAGAATACTTCATTTTTGCCTTTATGTAACAATAGTTTGTACCTGCTGTCCTCTGCATTCCACCAGTATCATCAGTCTAGTAAACACTGCTGGTTGCTCTGGCCCTGAACCAAAAAGGCTACAGGATTCTTTATGTTGGCACACTAAATTTTGGGAGTTCCTTATGTTCCCATGCTTTAGGGTTTATCATTCTGCGGACTATAATCTTTCTTCCCCTCCATTAGTCTCTGTGAGATAACGACTGATTACCTCTTCCCTCTGTTCATGCCACTTTGTTGAGGGTCCTTTCTTGGAGTAAAATTCTTTGAAAGCTCATGCATTGTAAAGCTGAGCACTAAGAGACTCAGCCTACATAAAGTTGATAGCCAAACTTTGTCAGGTAACTAAACTAAAAAAGTTAAGTATTTTGAGGGTTGTGCTGACTTGTTGTAGTTGTAGTGCACAGCCCACAAGTTGAGACTCAAATGAAGAGCATAAAATTACGGCAGTAACCCCTTTGTCTGCACAGCTGTGTCCCAGTGATTACTGCAGACTATCTTAAGAAAGAACAGCTGCTAAGGTGTTGTTTACCTCATAAATTATATTGAACTAATAATATTGAGGGTCCCCTCATTTTGTCCTTGTTTTCTCTATTGGCAGCAAATGTAGATCATGGTATGCATGATATTATCTAAATAAAATGATAAAAACATTTAATATAATAACTAAACAGAAAGAAAAGCCAAATCTATATATATGTATGCCAAACCTTGGAATGTTATCATAGTAATTAATTAATTAATTACTGGGTGTCCTCTTTGAGATTATCTAGTTCTCCCCCTTGCCTCATTTTAGAAACATAAAAACCATTGAAGTAAGTTGTTCAAGGTCATAGTTAAGATTAGAACAGAACTTCTTCTAACCCAACACTCATTCTCTTGTTATATATCAAATTTTGTTTATGAAGTATTTCTTAGTATATTTCATTGGTATGCTGATAAATGCTTAACAACTGCTTCTCCAAATATACTTCTGACATGAATGAATATTGGTTGATATTTTCACTTATGTAAATGACCAAGATGGAAGTCAGAAAGCATGTCAGAACTTTACTCACTCATCAGTGAAGTGCTTGCTGAAATAGAAAACTTTTTGAATATTGGACAAATAATGCCTCAATATTTTGTTTTCTTCACAATGCAGTGCCTATAGACATTCACACCCTTTAAGTTTAATTGCCTTATTAATATTTTTATCACTTTCTTAACCAGGGATTTGTAAACTTTCTCCATAAAGAGCCAAAGATTAAATATTTTAGATTTTGTGGGACACACACACACACACACACACACACACACATATATATATATAACCAACCAACCTTCCTTCCTTCCTTCCTTCCTTCCTATCCTTTTAAATTTTATTGTTTAGGGCTGGGGCTGGGGCTCAGTGGTAAAGCACATGTGAGGCACTGTATTCAATCCTCAGCACCACATAAAACAAATAAATAAAGATGTTGTATCCATCTACAATTAAAAAAAAATTAAATGGAACATTTAGCCAGATAAGAAGGTGCATGTCTGTAATCCCAGCAACTGGGGAGGCTGAGGCAGGAAGATTGCAAGTGCAAGACCAGTTTGGGCAACTTGGTGAGATCCTGTCTCAAAATGAAAAATTTTAAAAAGGGTTGGGGAGTAGCTCAGTGGTAGAGTACCCTTGGGTTCAATCTTCAGTATCAGGAAAGAAAAAAATAACATTTTAATACCATTTTGCTGATTTGTAGCATTTGCCGATTTCCATGGTTTAAGTACTGTCACTGTGGCTGAATGAATTTACTAAAGTGTTGTCACTAAACATGGAGTTGAAAAGATGCCCAGTAGCACATTTATTTATAATATTTCTACCATTCAGATGCAGTTATAATCGATGTAAATAACCTCAAGTGTATATAATATAAAATACAATAAAACATTTAGGAATGGGTGACTTTTGAATATCAGTTATCTTTGTTTTTAATTTATTTAATTGTTAATATAATTTGATTTTTCATAGCAGCTCTTTTTAATAATGAGCTTGCAAAATTCTTGAAAATTTAACAGTTTCAGTGTATTGCTAAGATGAACTTCTCCAATGACATTTTTATTATTGTATTTCAAATTGGCACAGCAGATACAATTCACTTCATATTTATTATACATAACAGCACATTATGTGCTCCAAATGGACTAAATTTGGGTTCTAAAATGTACAATTTGGATAGTTTTTATTTAATTTGAAAATAATAAAAATTTATTATGTTAAAAAAATAATTTTGTTAGGTGGTTTCTTAAAGTTCTGAGAATAGTCACGTTACTTTGGATCCTGAATTTAGATGCCAGAGAGACCTTTCTCATACTGTTCTAATGACTGTGTAATGCCTCAGTTGTTTTTTGAGGTTTATTTAAAGTATTGATGAACCTTGCTCAACATTCTAGTCCTTTTTTTATTCATTTACTTAGGATGGTAAAAATTATATGAGCTGCGATATTTTTTTTTATTGTTGTAAAATATGCATAACATAAATGTACTATTTTAAGCATACAGTCCAGTGGTACTAGGTATATTCACATTGTTGTACTATCATCATCACAATCCATTGCCAGAACTTTTTCATCTTCCCAAACTGAACTATTTACATTAAACAGGTACTCCCCATTCCTTAATCCCCCATCCCCTGACAGCCATCCTTCTACTTTCTGACTTTGGATATTCTTATTCTAGATTTCTTACATAAGTTCAGTTATACAGTATTTGTCCTTTTGTTTTTAACTTATTTCACTTATTAAAATATCTTTGAGTTTATCCATGTTTCACCATATGTCAGAATTTTCTTCCTTTTTTAAAGCCAAATAATATCACATTGTATGTATATACCGCATTTTGTTTATCCATTCACCTTTGATGGACCTTTAGGTCATTTCTGTATTTAGAATATTTTGCATAGTGCTATTATGAAAAAAAACAATGTTTTGTTTTTTAGAATTAGCATGTAAACATTGATACTTTATGTGGACAACAGATTTTTTTTTTACTTACTTATTTATTTTTAATTTTCAGTGGACACAATATCTTTTTTTTTTTTTTTTTTTAATGTGTTGAGGATTGAACCCAGCGCCCCACGCATGCCAGGCGAACATGCTACTGCTTGAGCCACATCCCCAGCCCTGGACAACAGATTTTAAAGAACCATAAGACATAAAACTGTCAATAGCCGTCCACAATGACCTGTAATCCCAGCGGCTCATGGGGCTGAGGCAGGAGAATCTCAAGTTCAAAGCCAGCTTCAACAAAAAGCTAGGTGCTAAACAACTCAGCGAGACTCTGTCTCTAAATAAAATACAAAATAGGGCTGGGGATGTGGCTCAGTGGTCGAGTGCCCCTGAGTTCAATCCCTGGTACCACACTGACACCTGCCCAACACCCACCCCCACCGCCAAAAAATAAAAAAATAAAGTGCCAAGCAAAAACTCACTTCTTAAAAAGATATATACTGACATTTTTAGCTTTGAGATCAAATCAGTATTCTAACAAGGCTTTATTTGCAAATACTGTAGCATTCTGGCGATGTTTGAAAAGCAGAGTTATCTATCTATTATAAGAATTTTAAATACAATATGGTCAACATTTTAATGGCAGTAATCCCATGCATATGTGAAAGTGAGCCAAAATACCAAGTAAGAGTATAAAAGAAAAAAATGCTATGGTCTGCATGGTTAAATGGATCCTTATAAAGCTAGTAAATAAATGCATAAAAACATTTTGGAATTTATGCATTTATTTTAAATGTACAGGTTCTTTTAGAATTGCTGCAGGCTGGAGGTATTGTTCAATTTGAAGAGAGTCGGCTCATCCGTATGGCAGAAAAAGCTGAATTGTAAGTTGATTTGAAGCCATATATTAGTTTTCCATACAACTATTAAGTTATATTCATCTAACTCGATGCCCAGTTTATTGATGCATTGCTGCTTTTTTAATTAAGAAAGGTTATACAAATAACAACGCCACCAAAAATTGATGCATTGCTGCTTTTTAAATTAAGAATGGTTATACAAATAACAACACCACCAAAAACCTAAGTATGAAAGTTTTGGCCTTCAGTTGAATTCTAGAAATTGGTAAAATTTGTAGGAATTTATGAGATAAATTTAAAATGTTTGCTTTTTATATTTGTTTTAATATGAAAGCAAAACTGCAGTCTTATAATGTTTTATTATTTTAGATTTTTAAGACTCAATATTTCATGGTGTTTTATAAATTTTTCTGACAATTATATAGAATAAAAATAATGCAGAATTTAACATAGTAAATAAGATGCAATATGCTAACACTTTTCTTTGCGTAGTTCATTGAACGTTTTGACATACTTTGAACAGAGACTTCATATAAAATTTTTGCATATTATTTATTAATAGCTAACTTTTTGATTCTTATGTGACATATTGTTTTCTTAACATTCTTTGTACCCAGCTTTGAAATTTCTTATAAACATAGCATTCAGAAGCATCTTAAACTTATTATATATTATATATTATTATATGTAATATTATTATATTAATATATAATTAATATATAATATATTATATATTCATCTCCCTCATATATTTAATGAAAATTGAGTATCCCTTCTCTGAAACACTTAGGAGAGGAAGTGTTTTACATTTTAGAATTTGAAATATTTGCATGTGCCTTACCTATTGGGCATTCCTAATATGAAAATCCAATATATGAAATGCTGTGATGTCAAAAACTCTTTAAGCCTTGTAGATTAAGAGTGCTCAAACTGTATAATTTTATTTAACAATAAATCACATTATTAATTTTAAAAAATATTAATATGTATGCTATGAGATAGCAATAAGCTAATAACCACCTGCCTGTATGGTACACTGAAGTTTTTCCTTTTACATTCTAGCTATCAAATTTGTGAATTTATGTATGAGCGAGAACACCAATATGACAAAATTATTGATTGCTACTTGCGTGACCCACTGAGAGAGGTAAGTTAAGAGACTTCTTTGCTCTTTTTTCTCAGTCCTCCTGCCTTTATTACATAGAAATAACTATTCATTAGAAATACTTAGACATATGTTTGCTGATCCAAGGTTTTCTTCATTTATTCACCAGTTTTTACTGAGTCTCTGGTTTAAGCCGAGTCCATATTGATAATTAAAAGACAGATAGTTCCTGCAATTTTCGAATTTAAAAATTTAGTAATAGAGACTGGTAACAAATAAAACCAAGTATAAAATTATAAATTATGATAGGTGCTAGGGAAGAGAAACTGGGTACCACTTTGAAGGATAATGGGGAACTGACTTATATAAAGAAGCCAGAAAAGTAATCTCAGAGAAAGTGACGTATAAAGTGAGTTTTGGAATTTGAGAAGCCAGTCAAGCAAAGAGCCAAAGGAAGAGTGTTCCAAGATAGGGAACCATATATGGAAAGATCCCGAGATGAGGGGAAAAGACATGTTCAGGGAACTGAATAGAGATCATATAGATGAAATGAAAATCAGTATAAGTGGAGCATACTAGACAAGAGCAAGAAGGTTTTTTTGCCAGGAGGCGGGGGCTGGTACTGGGGATTGAACTCAGGGGTACTCAACCACTGAGCCACATCCCCAACCCTATTTTGTATTTTCTTTAGAGACAGGGTCTTACTGAGTTGCTTTGCCCCTTGCTTTTGCTGAGTCTAGGTTTGAACTCCTTCCTCAGCCTCCCCAGCCACTGAGATTACAGGTGTGTGCCACCTTGCCCAGTGCAAGAATGTTTTGAGATGAAATTAGCGATATAAACAGGGATCACTGGAAGCAAAAATATTATATTCTCCAAGTAGTTAATTGAAAAAGTTAATAAATCGAGACCAAAATGAATTGGAACAGATCTGTAACTTCCAGGAGTCTATCCTAGACTTTAATTACTCTTCCTCTTTAGTGTCAGTTATCCATCAGTTAAATATCTATATTAAATGGTTTTCCATCTCCAAATAATAAATATTTACCAGGACTGATACAGATAATAGTGACAAAATATTACCTGAGTGAATTAATGAATAAATTATATCATCTTGTGTTGTTCAGGAAGAAGTCTTTAATTACATTCACAACATCTTATCCATTCCTGGCCACAGTGCCGAGGAGAAGCAGTCTGTGTGGAAGAAAGCAATGGACCATATTGAGGTATTGATTCAACACAACTTTTGAAATTTCCCCATTTGAGTTAATTTCCCAATTAACTTTATGCTAACTAAGGAATGGCAGGTATCATATTATTGCATTGATTTACTTGAGGATCAGAAGTCTTTTTCACATTTAAGCAGATCACATATGAGCTTCTAAAGTGAAACATCTGGTTTGAAAGCTGGGACAGTCAGTTCTGAGGTGTGTGGTCTGTAATGATCGCCATACTCTTTTAACTATAGGATTGATATATATTATTGAATGTTATTTAAAGTTATCTTCCTACTAACAAGATAAATAGATCTTGGTGAAAGAACCCAATGAGACCTTCCTCCAGTGTTGAGTTTTATCTTTTTTTCTTTTTTTTGCATTTTGTATTCTTTTTTGTCATCCTCTTCAAGTCTCCACAGTCACAGCAGGGCTAATCCTTTATTTTTTTCTTATCTGTATTATGCAGTGGTTTGAACACATGGACTCAGGCATCCAGAAGTGAAGCTATGTCTCTCTGCATAATGTGAAACATGATGAATTAATCAATGAGCAAACAAATTACTCAGCAGAAACTTACCCTGAAGAAACAAGAAGTATTTTTGCTACACAACAATTATTTCTGCTGACTATTTTTTCTACATATGTATATTTTTTTACCTTGAGCCTTTACATGTCTCTTAACACCATGATTACAAGTATATGGAGTTTTTGTTGAATAATTTTTGTTGTTTCAGGGTTGCCCAGACACCTTTAGGAGTTTAATATTTTAATGTTTTAGTGATTTTTAAGCCATTCACAGATTGGGTTTGTGGACTCTTGGTAAAGAATCTCTAGTTCAGATGGTTCTCCCAATATGGACAAAATATATCATTAGGTTTTTAAAAATACTTTTTATTTTTCTGAATTAAAAAGTCAGAAAAGAGGGGCTGGAGTTGTGGCTCAGTGGTAGTGCACTTGCCTGGCATATGTGAAGCCCTGGGTTCCATCCTCAGTACTGCATATAAATATTAAAATGAAAGATCCATTTACAACTAAAAATATTTTTTAAAAAGTCAGAAAAGAGTATAAAATATAGTTTAATAAAAAATTTAAAAGCAAACATTCTAGGTCCAAATAAAGACTAAAGTACATCTCATACTCTAGACTCTTCCCTTGTATTCTTTCCTGATCCCAAACGCCTGCCTCCTTGTTCCCACCACTATCTTCATTATCCCAGTTTTTGTGATAATTTCCTGCCTTTCTATATACTGTTACTGCATCCACATGCATCCCTAGTTGTGTTCTTGTTTTACATGCTTTTGAACTGTACTTAAATGAAATTATACTCTATTTTCTGATTTATTTTTGCTTTATATTTTGTTTAAGAAGTTTGGACCATTTCTTGCTTATTGTATCATATTTCCTTTTATAAATATGTCACAATTTATTCATTTTACTGTTGATGGACCTTTGGTTGTTTCTGGATTTTATTCTTAGGTATGCCTCCTGAGCACAGCCACATGCACATCTCTAGGGCAGTGGTTCTCGGTCTGGTCTCAGACAAACATTACAACATCAGCTAAGAACCTGATAGACTTCAGACTTCCTGAATGATAAACTCTTGGGGTGGGACCCAGCAATCTGTGTTTTAACAAGCCCTCCAGCTGATTTTGGTGCATGATTACTTATAATCTCTGCTTTAAGGTATATAATTGCTAGTTAATTGGAATTAATACCTTAAATATTACTGGATGCCAGCATAATATGAGAGTTCTAATTCACTCTATATCTTTGCCAGATTTGAAAACTTTGTGAGTCTGGTGATGTGTAATGGTATCTAATTATGTTTTGAGTTTACATTTTCTTAATTGCTATAGATAGCCTTTCCCTGTTTAGTGGCTATTTAAATTTCCTCTTTGGTGATGTGCCTGTTGAAGTCTTTTGCCCAATTTTTTTTCAATTGAATGTCTTATACTTATTGATTGGTAGGATTTCTGTATGTATCATGGATGTTAGTCTTTTTTCAAAAATGTACTGCAAATATCTTCTCCCATTCACTGACTTTTTCCCTCAATCTTTTGTCTTTTTAAGAAAAGTGTTTTTTAAATAGTATAATCAATTATTCTCCTGTACTTAAAAAGATATCTTCCTTTATTATCACCTAAAACTTTTGTTTTGTTTGTTTTATAGTAGTGCTATGAATGAAACTTAGGGCTAGGGAAGTGCTCTGTCACTAACTCTTGGGTCTTTTTTTTTTTTTTTTAATCTTTAAATCTGGGATCCAGTTGAAAGCAATTTTCATATGTGATATGAAACTGGGATCTAGTTAATTTTGGAGGTATCCTGTTATTTTTAAGAAATACAAATGTCCTGTCTTCCCAGCAGCATTTATTATAACATGGTCATAAGTATATCAAGGATCTCTATACTTGGGCTGCTTTCTGGTCTTTCTGTTTCATTAGCCTCTTTGTCTATCTCTGCATCAGTACTATACTATTTTAAGATATATAATATATCTCTATATCTTTAACAAGGTCGTGGCTAGTATAAACTTTGAATACTTTCAAGTACATTTTGGAATCAGCTGATAAAATTCCATAAAAAAAGAAAGAAAGAAATTAAATTTTGTGATTCTGGCTGGCCTTGCATTGAATCTGCCCATGATTGTGAAGATAATTAATTGATGCTATATATCAAGGTCCAAGTCAGTTGTTTGTCATAGTGGGTCTTAGGCTATTTCCTAATGGAACCAAGATGATGTGCTTTGGATATAGTTCAAGTGCTCCCATAAAGGTATATTTGTTAAAAAATAAAATAAAATAAAAAAAATTAATTGATGCTAAAGAGCATCAATAAATTAAGTCTTCTAATCTGTGATTGTATGGTATAATCTTTTATGCAATATCTTTCTATAGTTTTTATGATTTTTCTCTGTAGAAATTTTCCATCCTTTGTTAGATTTACTGTTACAACTTCTTTGTGGGGGGTACTAGGGATTGAACCCAGGGATGCTGTACCCAGCCCACTTATTTATTTATTTATTATTTTGAGGCAGCATCTTATTACATAGTGGAGGCTGGTCTTCAGGTTTTGATCCTCCTACCTCAACCTCCCGAGCAACTGGGATTATAGGAATATGCTACTAAGGCTAACTACAACTTGGTATTTTTATTAATGCTTCTAGTAACAGTACTTTTGAAATTTTCACTTGATGAAATTTGATCTGATGTTTCCTATAAGGTTTTTTTGTTTGTTTTTGGTTTTTGTAGAAGGTTCCTTAACATCCTGTGGATTTCTTTATGAATGGACTTTGAAATTGTTCACCTTTTCTATCATTCTGGTTTTTTTTTTCTTGTTTGTTTTGTTGATATTAAGCCACCCCTGAATTCCACAGGTAAATGCAATTTAAACCTGATATATTGTTTTTGTGTGTGTGTTTTTTGTTGGGTTTCTTTTTCTTTCAGGAATGTTGTGTCAGTATTCAGGATTAAGGTTGATGCACACTTTTCTTTCTTTTTTTTTTTTTTTTAAATATTGTCCCATTATGTTTAGTTATCAAAATGTTGCTGACCTTACACAATAACCTAAAGAAGTTTTCTATTCTCTGTAAGAGGTTAATTAATGCTGGTGTTATTTCTTCCCTAAATGGTCACTAGAACTAAAAGGTGAGGCCATTTGGGCTTTGCATTTTCCATGTGACATGACTCTTGACTATTCATTTGATACCACTCATTTGATACATATGGTACAACTCTTGACTACTCTTAGTTTTGGTGGGTTTTTTCGTGTTTTTTTTTTTTTTTTTTTTTTTTAAGACCGAAAAGGTACAGCTGGGAAGGCAGAATCATAGATGTTAGAATCCAAGGATAAATCCTTTCTTTGATTTGACAAAAATAAGCCTTATTAACAGTAGTTAATTAACAGTGGTTGACATTTTAGTCTCCTTAAGACTATAGTTGATTTCTGAAGATTCTTCCAGTTTAAATCCACAAGGCCCAGAGATAAAGTTTTAGAATTCTTAGGCAAGAAATTGCAACCATACTCTTTCTCATTTATTTATTGCTTTAGGCTCAAGAGTTTAAATTTATTGACAGGGAAACTTTTGTTCTTTATGTTCATCCTATAGATATCATAGCCAGAATCCATAGTATTATAGTGCTTTCATTTCTAAGAACTCTGAATTACCCTTTGTTAAATTGAACTCTGAATTATTATAAGGTACACATCTAAATTTGCTCATTTGCAGTGTGCCCTTTAAACTGCAGCGCTAAATCAAGGTCTCCTGAAAAGCAATGTGAAGCTTTTGACAATATTGAAATAGGTAATCATAGCTCACATCTGTGAATATTCTATTTAAAAGTACCATTAAAAATGGATTTTTCTTTTCATTTAACTCCAGGAACTGGTATCCCTGAAGCCCTGTAAAGCTGCTGAGTTGGTTGCTACCCACTTTTCTGGACAGATTGAAGTAGTCATTAAAAAACTTCAGGTAAGCTCCGGTTGTGGCTCAGTGATAGAACACTTGCCTGGCACATGTGAGGCGCTGAGTTCGCTCCTCAGCACCACATAATAATAGATAAATAAAGGTATTGTGTCCATCTACAACTAAAAAATATTTTTTAAAAATTTTCAGGTAAATATACACACATATATTGGGCAAAAAGATAATAGTGGAAAGAAATGAATTTCCACCTAAGAACTTCTGATTGTAGTCATTTCTTAAGTTTATAGTTGCCACATAATAATCTCTATGTTGGGTGTGTATGTGTTTGGGAGTAGCTGTGTGATGATCTCTGAGTCTGGAAATGAAGGAGTTTGTCTTTGGGCATAACAAAGAAACATCTTTGGAACTGTAACCTGTACTTATTCTAAAAATCACAACTCATAGAAAATCCCCTCTTCTCTCCCTCTTATTTTGCTATAGGACCCACAATCTTATTCTCTTTTAGGTTTGTTTTACTTAGTTACTCACTACCATATGGCCACATGATAGAGGTAAGGAATAGACAATGACAGGGACATAAAACACAACACAGAATCTTCAAAGGGCAATAATAGTGGTGGGGATTAACTGCAAGGTAAAAACCAGAACATGAGTGAGTGGGAGATAGTTGGCATGGAGACAAAGGTATGGAAGTCATTGGTTTAAATTAAATACATGTTGCAGGGGCTGGAGTTGTGACTCAGTGGTAGAGTGCTCGCCTAGCATGCTTGAGGCACTGAGTTCGATCCTCAGTACCACACAAATGTAAAATAAAGATATTGTGTCCACTTAAAACTAAAAAATATTTTAAAAAATACATGTTGCAGCTCTACTCTGTTCCTCAGTGTGCGTGAGGACATGAATAAGAAGACAGCCTTTCCTTTAATATTTTCTATGGAACAGAGAAGCATTTATATAACTATAATATAATGGTATAAGAGCTACCTTAAAGAAGAGATTGATGGACTATGAGAAAGTCAGACAAGGATTCCCAAAACTATCTGAATTGGGTCTCGAATAATCGATAATAGTTTTCCAAACAGAATGGGAAATGGCTTTGATAAAGTGATCTGGGCATGCGAAGACTTAAAGGAATAAAGCAGCCTGTGTGTTCAGAGTATGTCAGATCTGTGTGAGGTGTGATACGTGGAGGGCAACGGTGGGCTAGAGACACGTTGGAAGAGATAAGTTAAAATTACAGAGGCTGAAAATCTAGCTTTGGGCCTGATATCATATGTAATACTAAGAAATTTATACTTACTTTCTATGTGTTTAGGCAAAGGATGGCATCATTAGATCCATTTTGTAGAAAATTAACTCTGGCTTGCAGTGTGGAGAGTGGAGTGGCAAGGAGAGCAAATGGAACAGAGAGAACAATTAAAAAGCAAAAGGTCTAGGCAAAAGATGTGAGGACCAGGACAAAGTCATTAGTAGTGAAGAGGACAGATTCCAGATGAAGTAAAATGTATAGCACTTTGAAATTAATTGAATATATTGAGACAATTTAAAAACAATTCCCAGATATAAGGCTTGATTGTCCAGCATTATGCCCATTTTTAACTCCAGGCAAAGACATATCTGTTAATTCCACAAATATTTATTCTGTTTGTCCAAAAACATTTAATTTATATAAATACAATCACTGCTTCCAAGGAAGAAAATAAACTGAAAAGCAATTACAGATTCTTTTGACTGGAATGATGATAGCGTACTGCCCAGGATATTGAGAAAGTACATAGAGGGACAGGTGTTTTAGTCAGTTTTTTTTGCTGCCATGACTAAAGGATATGACCAGAACAAGTATAAAGGAAGAAGAGTTTATTTGAGGGCTCACAGTTTCAGAGGTCTTAGTCCATAGAAGCCGGCTCCATTCCACAGGGTTTGTGGTGAGTCTGACATCATGGTGGGAGAGTGTGGCAGAGGGAAGCAGCTCACATCACGGTGAAGCAGAAGCAGAGACTCTACTCCAAATACAAATATATACACCAAACCCACACCTTAATACCCACCTTCTCCAGCCACACCCTACCACTTCAGTTACCACTCAGTTAATCCCTATCAGAGGATTAAATCACTGATTGGGTTAAGATTCTTACAACCCAATCATTTCTCCTCTGAACCTTCTTGTATTGTCTTACACGTGAGCTTTTGGGGAACACCTCACATCCAAACCATAACAACACATTATAACCAGTCTTTTGGGGGCTGGGAAGACAGATACTTCTGCTCACACCATTCCCAATCCCCAGAGCTTCTCTACCCTTTAAAAATCTGGTAAATCTTACTTGTTTTGATGGTACTGTCATCATTGCCCTTTAAAATGTAATATTATCAGTTTCAGGATTTCTTTTTCCTGTATTCTGTCTATAAGGATATTAAGAAATGGAGAGGCCTAATAATCAAATATAATGTCATTCATTACATAAATATATAAAAGCTGAAGTGTAATGGATAAGAAAAAAAAATGTCTATTTGACCATGGCCCATTTGCTGAGTATTCTTTTAAAGAAATTTTATTCTAGAGTTTTATTGATTCTACACAGAACTTATAAAGTACCTTTACTTCTGATGAGAAGCAATGTGCCTCTGTCTAATAGTTTTCAGAATTCTTGAAAATAAAATAAGTAAGAATGTTAAGTTATTTATAACCAGGAGGAAAGTCATGTAAAATAAAGCAAAGTGATGGAGAAAAGATAGGAAATCAAAGACTGATAAAGACTAGTAAGTATATATGTGTCAGGTTTGGGTTTTTTAAAAATTTTTTATTTTTTGCAGAATGATGATCAAATCCCGGGCCTTAAACATACTAGACAAGCACTCTACCATTGAGCTATATCCCCAGCACTTTTTAAAAAAAAATTATTTTGAGACAGGGTCTCCCTAAGTTACCCAGACTGGCATCAAACTGGTGATCTTTGTGCCTCAGCCTCCCAAGTAGCTGGGATTACACATTGTACCTGGTGTGTCAATCTTCTTAAAGACTGAAATAAATAAATAAATATATAAATAATATATAAATTATATAATTAATAAATTAAATATTTACCTTTTTTGTAGTTGTACACGCTAACTTTATTTATTTATTTATTTTTATGTGGTGCTAAGGATCAAACCCAGAGCCTTGCACTTGCAAGGCGAGCGCTCTACCACTGAGCCATGACCCCAGCCCCAAGACTGAAATATATTTTTAAAATTATATTCTATATGACATTAATTATTTTCACTTTGGAAGTCTCCTCCTTCTTACAGATGAAGGTTGAGTGTGTCATTAAAAAAAAAGATGAAAAACTAAGCATGTATAATTTTTATTTAGGTTCCCCAAAACTTAGAAACATGTGGTATAAGATGATTTATCTCATTTAATTCTCACTACTACCCTGTGCAGAAGGCAGAGAAGATATTGTTGTCTCTCTGCTCTCTGCTTCCTCATAAGGAAATTGAATGCTAACACAAAGTCATATAGCTAATGAGTGTCAGAAGCAGAACCCAGATTTTATGGCATATTGATTGCAGACACATTGCAATTTGATTGCTATATCTAATGTATCAACAATGAACATGTATTGTATGAATGACTATTATATCAACAGTGAATTTGTCTTGATGGTGTTTGTTAATTTGGGCCTCAAACTCCCACCCTACCTAAATAAACTATTTCCCAGCAGGCTGTTGACACAAGGAATACAGGTAAGGCCATTTGAAACCTATCAGTGCCAGGAGCAGAGCAATGCAAACACCTGCCATTTGGAGGGCCTCATTCTGGGAACAGCTCAGGAGTTTTTCTTAGTAGGAATCTTTTTTTTTTTTTTTTGAGATAACAAGTTGTATCTCTTTTGCACTCAAAATTGAATGTGTGACAATGATTAGAACTGTTGGAAGGACATAAAGGACCTCCAGATGATTCTTTAGAATTTCTTAGAACCTCATAGAGGCTTAATGAAATGGGAAGATATGTATAGAGGCTTAACAGAATGTTAAGCATATATATGTATTTTTAAGAGGCTGTCTAGAGTAGTTCATAATTTGGAAAATTCATTTTAGTACTTAATTATATTTTTTTATTGTTTTTCTCTTCAGAACCAGGTTTTACTTTTCAAATTTTTGAGGAGTCTTCTTGACCCCAGGTATGTTAATAAACTTTAGCTTTTCATAATATGTAGATGAGAAATAAAAGCAAATAAACTGAAGTTAAGATAATATGCAAAGTATCTAAATAGTATAATTAGCTCATGATTTTTAATATCAGAGTAACTATTACATAGATTAATTTGTTCATGGTCTCAAAATAGGTATCGCCAGTTATATTCTCTTTCCACTTGAAGGTGAGCATGTGTAATAAGTTCTCATCAATGTAAATGAAAACAATGAATCCATTTTTGAGGAGATGCTTCAGGAAGAATTTGATGATCATATAATTCCCTTTTCAACCTTAGCTTCACTCCTGCCTGTTCCTTATTCTGTGTGGTAAATGAATAGCTTTACTTTTAAAAATATATAGTTCCAAGCCCACCTCTAAATCTATTACTTTTAAACTCTCACTTGATATGTTTAGTGCTGAATAACTTCCTAATGGTAGGGAAAGAAAGTTTAAATGTGTTTTTCACCTGTTACTGTAGAACTTACCAAATAAAAACAAATCCTAGGAGATGATGAAATTAGTAGGCAAAGAGCTTTGCATGTGGGATCTTAAATTTTTACTGTGACTAAGTGGAGTACATTGGGAGTTCGATGTAATAATGTGTAACATCCTCTAAGTTAGTATAAATATGTATTAGCATAACCAGAGAGGCTTTTGAAATTTCAAAAACACCACAGAATGATTGAGGGTGGGGATATTTTAATGCACACTTAAAGTTGAACACTAACTTTCTTAATCTTTTTTTTTGAGTACAAGGGATTGAACTCAGGGGCACTCAACCACTGATCCACATCCCTATTCCTATTTTGTATTTTATTTAGAAACAGGGTCTCACTGAATTGCTTGGCACCTTACTTTTGTTGAGGATGGCTTTGAATTCACGATTCTCCTGCCTCTGTCTCCCAAACCTTTGGGATCTTAGGCATGCACCACTGCCCCCGGCAAACTTTCCTAATCTTAAGTGTAATATCTGAAGATGTTATTTTCATATTAGACATAAAAATCTTAGGTTTCATTATAATATACACTCCTTATTTACTTACTTTAGCAATTATAATATCAATTTTAGTTATTTCAGTATTCTGTGCTACTTTTAAATATCAAAATACCAGTAATTCTGTTGATCAGGATAATTTTTGGAAAGTTTAGTCATTTACATCTTGAGCAAGCTGTGCTGCATTTAAATTTAGAGTCAAGCAAATGTGTAGGTAAAAAGCAGTCTGACTGCATATGTCATTCTACCCCAGTTCAAGACCTTTTCAAAGTATCTGTTTGGATTTCAAGTTCTCAGATTATTACTGAGGCTAAGACATTTTTTATTTTAATTTCTGTTCATTATTTGTATTGCTCTCAGAATGAGTTTGGGCCCCTGTCTACTTCTAGGATTAGCTGATGGAGATATTGTAGAATTGGGGTTGGGGGTAGAAGGGAAGGGAGAGAGTTGGAAAGAGAATGGCGGAGAACTGAGTAGGGGAGACCAGAGAAAAGTCGGAGACTGAACTGATAGAAGAGGAGAGAAGCACCCAGCATCCAGGAAGAGTATTTCCCTGCTCTTTCTCCAGGTCCTGGCCCCCTCTGTTCCCATGGCCAAATTCCATCTGTCCCTTACCCATGCTTTGTCCAGTGTTAAGCTCTTCTCTAGGATAATTTATTTTAACCAAGTCTTTTCCCCAACCATCCTGCCTAAAGAGACTCATGCTGGAAGAACAAAGGAAGCTCAACTTTGAACTTGGCATTTTCTCAAATGCAAGGAAGTATAGTCATGGTGGTGACCAGATATCATTTTTTTAGAAAAAAATTATCAATATTAGGTAATGTAAATATCATTATAGTCATTTGCTTGTGGTGTCATGATTGCTGCTTAAGCTTCTCAGTAATAAAAATGACAAATAACAGAAGGATAGAGGTGTTCAATGGAAAGACTTTCTTGGTTATTACCTATACCTAGATTTAAAAGATTCTAATTAGATGAGACCCTTTAAGAATACTGCGAAAGTTGTTTTGTTCACTAGCAAACCACAAAATTCTTATACTTAAGAAGCAAATATATTTTATATCCCCAAAGTAACCCTAAACCTGGATAGTTACTCCAAATTAAGTTGTCACATGAATCCTCTCCTGTGATATCAGTTCAGCTGCAGCAGCCTTCTCTGACATTCCTGGGAAAGAAGCAGTACACCCAGAGCCCTCTGCTTCCCTCCCCATAAAAAGCAGGGTGACCTAGAATGACTTCACTCTGACAGCAGCCAAATCTCTAGCATTGCTTTTTGCCTAACAGAAGTAAAGAGCCTTGAATTAACCAGATTGATACTTTAGCTACACTTTAAAAAAGAGTTCATGTTCTGTTAATCCACCTCCAGATGTCAAAGACCTCATTCTGCTTTGAAAGCCCTGGTTCCTGAATTCATCAGACTTTATCCTCTTACTTTGTGTCTAATACAGGAGTCAAACATCAATTCAGATTATGCTTTAAGTTTGTTTTTTCAATTTGATGTTTGGCCTTTCTATAATTTTTAGGTTAAAAGTATTTTAAGGCTGGGGATATAGCTCAGTGGTAAAGTGCTTCCCAAACATGTATGAGAGAGACCCTGGGTTCAAAGCCCAGCACCAAAAAACAAACAAACAAAAAACCCAGTAAATATCGCTTCTCGGCCTTTTGGCTAAGATCAAGTGTAAAAAACCCAGTAAATAATTGTATCTCAACCTAACCTATTAAAGCCTGTTTACCTATAGTGTAAATATATAATACTAATAATATATTGAATTCTGGATTAAGGGAGAGAAATAAAGAAGGTTGAGTTCAGAGGAAGTAAAGAAAGAAGTTGTTTTTGCTTTCTTGTTTTCAGAGCTATTCTCTGACAAAGACTCAACGTTATTTAGAAAAATATATGCTTTTTTTTTCTATAGGGAAAGGACAGAATGAGGAACATTTTTAGGGGAATAGTAAAATGATTTTTAGGGGTACTTGGTGGGTTTGGAGAATAGACAGAGGCCTGGAACAAAATCTGTTTGGCCCACAGAGTGGACAGTAGTATGTCAAGGATTACCTATGGGACCAAAGTGGAGGACAGTTTCTCTAGAGGTCCATTTAGGTGTGTTGACAGACTTCCGTCCCTTCCCAAAATGTGACTTCAGTTAATGAAGAGTCAGGAAGCAAGAGGAGATTGTTTCTCCTTGGTGGGCTGGACTTTAGGCAGAAAAGGGGGAAATGCAATAGAAGGGGAGACACAGAACATGGGAGGAACCTGGGATCTGAGGTAGGTTATAGGGCCTCTCAGCATGTCAAAGCACCCAGTTTGGGGGTATCATTTTCTGGGACCCAACACTGTATTTGTTGACTAACCTAAAGGATTAAAGTCTTGTCAGGCACTGGGAAAACTAAGGAGGTATGAGAAAAGATGTAGGAACAAAAGAACATTAAAAAATAGGTATTTGGCCCAGCCTCACAGCTTTCGAAGGCAGCCAACTTTACACTATTTTTGCCTGCCTTTCTTTCTTTCTTTTCTTTTCTTAAGCAATAGATTTTTTTTTTTTTTAAAGCTCCAGGTTTTTTCCCCCATGAAACGTCTATACTAGCATTCTGGAAAGTAGGGAAAATGAAAGAAAAGTTATTTTGAGTTATTTTGATCTTTTTGAATGGAAGGAACATTTTTAAGATATCAACCCTCTGTGTTAAATAACATTTCAAAATTAAGATGAAAGATTGTAACATTATAAATGTTCATGAACATTAATATATTAAAACACATTCCTTCTTCAATGAGTGCCTTCAGTGGCCAAGATGATTGTCAGCTTGGTCAGTTTTCCTTGTCGATGTCAGACATTTTAGTATTTTATTAGAAGTTCAAATTCTACCTAACATCATCTAATTAACCACTTATAAGAACATGTCATATCAGAATGTTGCTTTTTTGTTGTTCTTGCCCCCAAAGCTTGAGTGAATAAGATCTCATTCCTGTATATACAGTTTGTGCATATTTGATTTAACATTTATATCAAGTTATTTTTGAGGGAGTAGTTTTTCATTTTGTTAACAACATTTTTAAAGTAACAAATCATCCAGTTAAATTCATATGTATATATTTGTTTCTTTATCCAATTTCTTTAAGTTATCTTTGTTATATAATAATTTCATCACCAGAATGACTTGAAGTATTGGTGGCATCTGTACATGGAAAGATTAAATAGTTTTGCAGGGAGATGTGGTTAATCCTCCAGAAACAAATTACTTGCTTGAATTGAGGCCAACAGCTTGGGAGAAAGGATTTGCATCCTCTTCCAGTTCTGTCCTTTGGACAGCTGCTGAACAGAGGCCTACTCCACCCCCCACTCCCTTGCTCCCGCTGGCCACCAATTCTTACAGTTTGGATATTCTCACATCCAGATGCAGGCCTGTTGTGCAGTGGGCATGCCTAAAGGATAATACAAAAGGATGCTGATGTGTTTTGTGAGGCCTTGAGCTGTATAGGAATAAAGAGAACTTGCAAATATATTTATATTCAAAATATTATCAGTGTGATATTCCTGGTAATGTCAGTTTAGCCTTTGTTAACAAAGTCCTAGAGGCCTCTGAGATATGTATTACTATTTTTTTGAAGGGGAAAAAAAACACATAAAATGTCACATTGTATTTTTAAGTCTTTAATCAAAATAAAATAAACATTGAACTTTGCTAAGAAAATGAGTAACTTTGCCAAAAAGCAAAATATAGATTATGGAAATGGTTATACACTGGAATTTAGTTTAATCTGTCAGTATTACTGTGGATCTTTTTGAATGGAAGGAACATTTTTAAGATATCACCCCTCTGTGTTAAATAACATTTCGAAATTAAGATGAAAGATTGTAACATTATAAATGTTCATGAACATTAACATATTAAAACACATTCCTTCTTCAATGAGTGCCTTCAGTGGCCAAGGTGATTGTCAGCTTGCTCAGTTTTCCTTGTAGGTATCAGATTTTTGTTAGTATTTTATTAGAAGC